TTACTTTCATTTTCCCTTTCAACAGATTTGGACATATTTAAGCTCTATCACATTTTCTCGAACAGATCATGTATAAAACTTGTCCTTCACAGATAGCATACTAGCTCTTATAATCCACACTTCTCAACAGATATGCTATCAACACATACCACATTCACAGATAGCATATAAGCTTATCCACACTTCACAAAGATCAGCATAGAGCTCTATCTTTCACTTCTCTACAGCTATGAGCTGTATCTACGGTTCTCCCTATCTTCTCCACCCATTCGGTTTTAGAGGTAATCCCCATCTTCCCTATAACCGCGGAGTACATCCCCATCTCTCCTCAATCAAAGATACAAAACATTGGTCTATATACAATCCACTCAATACATACAGTTAATGTATTCTATCAACCGTCAATTCCATTACCTTCCATTGATTAGTTTCTTGCTAATCTATGCATTGTCTACAACATCCACGACTATCCTTCCACCGATAGCCCCAAAGCGTTATCTCTAAACGAAAAATAATGCACAATGGATATTCAATCCATTTTCATTTCCTCATTTCTTCACAATAATTTATCCCAATTAATCAAAACATTAATTGGTCTTATTCCCATACCATTAACATTACAACCCTTAGTCCATTTTCATCAATATTCAACATTTATTCCATCTTCTCTATGCCAAATCATCTGGTTTATTATCGAAATAAAACCCCAATTTTGTAAATTAACACAAAGCCCATTTCACAAATTACAAACAACCAACCAACACATCAAAAATACTTAAAATTGAAGACAACATCCATAGAGAAAGAGTAGGACTTCTCGTTACTCGTAAGTTTCGGAGCCAACAAGCGAGATGAAGACTCGAAGTCAACTGCTTCCAAATCCAAACTTTTTTTCAGATTAGTCGAAGTCTCAACGCTCTATTCTTTTTAACAAAGGCCCTAGGCTAGAATTCCACTCTGGAGCATCAAATCTTGAGAGAGTGTAAGTTTAGGGAGACGGAGAGTTCTTCGGAATCTGGGTTTGAAAGAAAAGAGAAGTGAAAAACTGACTGTTCAAAAACGCTACTGTCATGATATAAACACGCCTCGCTCGAGCGAAGCCTTTGTGCTCGAGGATAGACAAGAAAAACTTCTCGCTCAGCCAAGAATTCTCGCTCTGGCCGAAGACTCAGCTGTGTTGCGCCTGAGCTTAGGAACATGGCACATCGCTCGACAAACCAACAACTCCAAACCCTAGGTCTGCAACCAGAGCCGACGCTCGAGCGAAGATTCGTCGCTCGAGCGAGAACAACCAGACCGCTCCCCCGAGCGAAGAAACTCCCGCCCCTCCGAGACAAGAAATGCATCTCAGGTACACCCCAGAACCCAGACGCCATAGCCTACGTCCCCGAGCCCAGAAGAACTTGGGCTCCGAACACCCAGGCCACACCAGAACTACTCACCTAGCACTCCGAGAGACCAATCACTAGCCCTAGAGCCACCAGAAGGTCACCGAAACAAATCTTGGATAGGATGGTAGCAGCAACTAGGGCTACAAAAACCACAACAACCTATAAGAAACTGAACAAACAACTACTTATAACCATATAAAGTAACAAGCGAGTGCAAAAAAGATAATAACACTACAAATCCAAACGGAAAATGTGATACTTAAAAAAAGGGTAACAACCAGGATACGTATATAAACCCACGTTGAGGTAACAAACCCTAGGAACCAGAGATAATGTAAACTAGGTTCATCTGGAGGAAGAAATACTATGGTGCGGTCTGTAAAAAGATGAAACTATTTAATCATTTTGTACATTATATGATGTAAGTGCATTTTGTACATGTGATGTTGGAGGGGTGGTTTTTATATCTTAATGAAATTCTGTCGATCCTTGTGGAGTGGGTGTGTAAAATCTGAAAGGAACTATTTGACAGATTTCACACTATCGTGGATGAAGTGGGGGCCCGCTTTACCATGAGACACGGACTTATTATCCAAATATGTTGAAAACACCTGGTACATTCACACGACCGTATATGTGATAGTTATTAAAGCTAATGTAAAACAACTGGATTATTATGTTGTGAAAGTAATTATTTAATTTCATAAGAGTCAATGTCTCAAGTTGAGAACCATACTGGACACTTTGGAGAGTGGAGGTTGATGTCTCTCAAACATGAGGTTAAATGACAGAGCACAAATTATGATGCCATACTATCATATATTTGTTTGGTCTACAGGGGGGTATCGCTATTTTATTTTTGATTTAAATGTTTTATAGAGATAAAGGGTTTTAATTGTTGTAAAGCTGATCGGAAGATTCCTTCATTACCTGTGTACCGTGGATGTTGGGTTGTTTTTTATTTGTTTGATCCCTTTTACTTTTATTGAGTTATAGGATGTGTTGGGAGAGCTTGTTAGGTTGGTTGTGTTTGGGAACCCTCAGGTGCATGCACACAGATTTTTAAGTTAGATAGAGCAGAGGAGTTTGGGATAGATCGAGGAGAGTTTGAGTTGCTTGTATGGTGGGTCGATGAAGAGTTGTTCCGCTCAGCCGAGACGCTGCCACATGCGTTCTCGGACCTGAGTAGGTTGTGTTTCCTTGGCTGAGACCGGAGGTTTTCTTGGTCTCCAGAGCAGTCGTGGCTTTGGTTCCCTGCAGTCCACTTTGGCTACAAGTCGAGCAGTGCTTACTGGTTGCAGACCTGTAGGGTTGAGGTTGTTGTAGAGCCCGGATTCATTTAGTATAACGAGGAAATTTTTGGTTTGGCTAGAGAAGTAGACTTCTTCGGATAGAGCGAGAGTTTTACCGTGTACTGGGCCAGTCGAGCGAAAGGCTAGAATCCGACAAGCCCGCCATTTGTGTTCCATCCACCGTGAGCATCAATCCACCCGTAGCACATCCAAGAACACGTCACTTTACCCCCCCAGCCTCCCAGGGGCTCATCCATCTTTTCTGTTTCCAAACAGGATCGCTCGATGGCGCGCGATGTTTTATGATCAGCGGACCAGTAGCGTTTTTGAAATAATTTTTCACCCTTTTTTTTTATCAAACCCTAGATCCGAGACCCTCTCTCTTACCACTTATATTCTTCACGAATTGATATATATATACCATAGGTTAGATAGAGGCATTGAGCAGCTTCCATGTTTTAATATGAAAATTTGGATTATGGAGCACGTTGATCTTCGAGCTCTCTCATCTCTTTTGCTCAACTTCTCGAAGGGTAGGATATCTACTACCTCTTATGGGTTTTGTCTTTAAATTTTGGCATTTTGAGATGTTGGGATGGGGTTGGTTGGTAATTTTGTGTGTGAGTTTGGGGGCTTTTGTGTAATTTACAAAGTTGGGGTTTTATAATAACCTGATGCATGTTTGCATAGAGAAATGAATAAATGTTAAGTCATTGATTAAATGGGACCTAAGGGTTTGAATTTAATTATGGGGAATGACTAAATTACATTGTTTAATAATTGGTATAATTTGTGATGAATGAGGAAAATGAATGTTATTGATAGTCCATTGTGCATTTATTTTCTGATTGTTAGATAATGTTTGGGCTATCGGTGGAGGATAGTCGTGATATGATTGTAGACAAGCATGAGTGATTATGGCAACGGAAACTACATTCATGGAATGTGTATGGAATTTGACGGTTATAGATTACATTTAACTATATGGATTGTGTGTGTTATAGAACCATGTGTTGTATACGTTATGTGTAGAGGAGGATGGGGATGTAACTCCGCGGTTTAGGGAGATAGGATGTACCTCTACCGGAAGTGTTGGGAGGAGTAGGGGATGAACTCCGTAGACCAGCTCATTGTGTCGTAGGAAGTTCGAAGATAGAGCTCTATATGCTCTACTCTTGTGAAGTGTGGTGGATATTGTGGTCTATACTATTGTTGTTAGAATGTGAATATAGCTTATATTGCTTATCTGTGATATTGTGGTTTACTATCTGTTGAGAATGTGGGTAGTCTTATTGCCTATCTGTTCACAGGGGAATGAAATAATTTGACTCATAAGTCGCTTATTGACATAAATGTGTGATTTATGTGAATGCTCGTGTGCGCATCTATCAACCTTGCTAATATTTTCAGTCATCTGCTCTCATGGTTGGTTTCGTATATTCTACTGGGTGTGGCTCACCTTATATGGGATATCATTTTCAGTGCAGAAGCATGCACCTCCAAGGACATTAGCTTGGAGGTAGAGGCGGACATATGTTGTCGTTACTTTTGATGTATTACATTGTAAATAAGCCAAGGGCTTATGTGATGAGTTAGTAACTCTTTTGTTGACCAGTGTCTTAACTTGAAGTGTTGCCTGTAGGGCATTTGCGTTTAGTTTTAACAATGTAATACTTTTTGTAATGAATCTGAAAATGAAAGATGTGGAACTTTTGAATATCATGCATGTCTTCTTATTTGGTGGTTAATGTTATTATTTTGAGGGCGTTTACAAAATGAGTGGGGATGTTGGACCATTTTTATATTCTTATATTTATTTATGGTTTCATTACTTTGGTAACTCTGGTATAATGGAGGTTAAATTAGAATTCATGGACTTGGTTAAAGGTCATTATTTTTGGTGATAACCATTTTCTTGTTTAATGGTCATTATTTTTTTGGTGTAACTGTACGGTCCTAATGGTACCATAACTAGTTATCTTCTTCTATCAACATATAAAACTATTTTTTTCTATAAGAGAGATACTAGCAAAGAAGGGTGTTTTATTGGTGGGTTATGGGTTTCTCTCATCGTGCATAGTTGGCCTGAACCGTAGAAAAAGTGGTTCGGGCTGTTGTATCCTGGAGGGACAAGTCATAGTTTTGTGGACTGTTGCATCGGTCATTGTCCTTACTTTGTTTGTTTTAGGCCTTTTTATTCAAAGGTAAAATAATAAATCACATGGTTATTACTTAATATTATAAAATTGGCCCTTCTCACACTTTAGGCCTGAAGCTTGGACTTGAGCTAGCTTTATGTAAGTCGGGCTTGATAATTCTAGTTCTGATTGTTTAATTGGTGTCTGTAGTGAGATTGAAAAAGGTACGTTAGCGCTTTTGCCTCTGAGATGTACACCATTTCACAGGTCTGGGAAATATGGCCATGCAATCTGGGATCATGCTTTATCGTTTTAGATTTATACCACTGGGTTAGGAGCTCATAGATTATGTGAATAAAGAAAATGGGCTTCCATTGTCTCATGGTTTTCATAAACAAGTAGCCTCTCAGAATGTATTCATAAACAAGTAGCCTCTCATTTCCATCCAAGCAGTAACCCAAGAGAGAAACCAAATGCCTACGTCGAACCTTGAAAAGCACTGCAATCTCAGAATTGAACTCATCCAAACCCTTGTCACTCACCACTCCAGACTCTATCCTCTTAACCGCAATCTTAGTCCCATCATTGAACTCTCCTTTGTAAACTTTTCCAAATCCTCCTCTTCCCAATATGTTCTCTTCGCTAAAATTGTTGGTCACAGTCTTCAAAACTTGAATGGAGATTACCATATTTCTGGCTTCAATAACACGAATATCACTAGGTCCACGACTGTCATGACTGTATGTTTCACCCGTTGTCCCACCAGTCAAACCCAAATCAGCAATGGTAATCTTAACATCATCATGGTCTGAACCTGAATGATAAGGACGAACCACCATGGCATTTGGACTCTGCACCCTCCAAGAATGCTTTTGTTTAGCCCTACAAATGCCGAACACAGTAACCCCAACAGCCAATACCGCACAAATACAACTAATTACCAAACCCACAACCACACCAATCAACTTATTGCCACTACTTCCCGAAGTCTTTGTTCCACTAACTGAGGGCGTACCCGGCAATGGACTAACACTATCATTCCCAATATCAGGATTCCCACTAAGACCCATTTTTTGAAAATTGACAACAGTAATGTCTCCATTAGAACAAGTGAGACCTATCCACTGGACACAAGGATCATTCCCTTTCCAACTATCCGCAAACACCGTTGGATAACCAACTGAGGAGACGAGAGAGAGGAATAAAACCCTAGAAACCATGAGAGAAAGTGCTGGTGGTGGGGGAGTTGATCTGGCATTTTGAGGAGGGTGATTATAAAGAGTAATGTTGGAGATATAAATAGAAGAATGTTATATGTATTTATAAATATTTATAATTTGTATAATAGGTAGAGTCTGTAATAATGACATAATATTAATTGATATATTAATGTATATATTAATTAGTGCATGTAACACTATTAATTTAAATAATTTATCAAAAGTTTTACTAAGGGGTCGTTTGGGATGATCTAAATAAGTGCACTTTTTGACTTTTTATGAAATATGAGTTGAGTTCGAAATGATATGTTAGAGAGGTGATGTGACTTAAATAAGATGATGTGACTTAAATAGGATAGTGACTTTTTGACTTTTTATAAACATGTCAAACCAAGCCTAAATCTTTTATATGGGATCTAAATAATCTATCAGCCATCTTACTAAATCTTTGATATGAATGTAAAATCTACGCACATATGAATTTGTACGAGTCATATACATATGATATATTTAATAAAATATTAAATAAATTATTTGAGATTAATGGTAATTTTTTTAAAATGTGATTTTTAGAGGGAGGGAGAGACAGAAAAGTGTTTTTGAGTATTTTGCAGACGAAGCGGCGGAGAATCGGGTTGAAATACTAAACAAGTACAACAGAAATGAGACTGACAGAGACAATGATATTTGAGAGAGGGAGGAATATATGTATGGTGAGTTATGTGAAAGATTTCAAATAATTTATTAAGTTTTTTAGATGAATATTAAATTTATATATATGTGATTTGTATGAGTCTTAAACTCATGTGAAAATTTTGATAAATTATTTAAGTTTTGTAGCATTTTTCATGTATGGTTGCAAAGTTGTCACAATGCCTGGGTCTCATTTTTTTTTTTTAATTATTTTTTGAGGTTGGTTTGAAAAAAAGGTTTTATTCATAAATTTTATAATTAGAATTCATATTTAATTTTATTCCTAATTTATAATTGAGTAAATTACAAATAGACCATCTGAGGTTTGCTTAAAATACGAATTGTTCCCTGTAGTTTGGAAAATTACAAATAACCTCCCTCGTTCAGAATTTTTTATTTAACAAAATTATTGAAAAAATGAATTATATAAGTGTTCACCTATACAATAATAAAATTTGAATTAATAATTAAATAAATTTTAAACATTATTAAAAATTGTTTAATTAACTTAATGATTTATTAATAAAAAGACCTATTTGTATGTGAAATTAGAAACCTTAGAGGCATAATATAATTTTTAAAATCACATTAAGTAATTTGTGAATTTAAGTAAATCTCAAGAGCGTGTGTTTTTTAATTTACCCTTTATAATTCTAGTCTTGCTTTCAAAAGGATCCCAAAAAAAAAAAAAAAATTATATGTCTAAATTTAATAATATAATCTCAATTCAATTTGCAGCTTAATTGTAAAGAAATTTCATTAGAGTATTTATATATTAATTTATCTTCTACAATGTAATTAAATTTTTTACTATTTATATATGTTTAAAATTTATATTTTGGAAAAATTAAATCAACGTCATTACATAACAATGTGAATCTTTCTATGATGATTATAAATAAAAATTTTAAATTATTATTAAATTTAACTATCTAAAAATAATTATGGAGAAAGCTCCAATAAATCTCAAATTTAGGAATGTTAACCCATTTAGTCCCGAAGGTTTTTTTTGTTGGACTAATAGGTCCTATTTCCCAAGAAGCTTACTATAGGCCTTTTATGATTTCCCTTCTTTTCAAACATATCTAGGCTATTGTGACAAAATTGTGACGAAATTTTTTTTTTTGTTTTTAAAATTTAACCCAAAGATGGGACGAAATATTAATTTTGTCGTTTGTTTTTAATTTTTCTCGAAAGTATAGGAGACGAAAACAAAAAATTTCATCTGCAAAAATGAGGCGCCAATTTTATTTGCATTGGCGCAAATTATTTTAGCTCATTGGAGACAAACTTTTTGTCAACAAAATATTTTTTTTTTTTTTTGTGACCGAAAAAAACGGGTTTTATTCGTCGCCAAATAAAAAAATTTTCCATGTTTACCTTTTTATTAAAAACCGATTGGTTTCAAATTTTGGGGGCATTTTCTCCCTTCCCCT